CCCTGAGAATACAAGTTAATATACTTGTGAACTTGTTTGCTCCAATATTGCTTGATAGGTCAGCTCTGATAGTATAGGAGCCTTACACCTGTCCCCAAGGGGTAAAGTTATAAAAAATTTTAATTTTAGAGTGGTGACTAATGATAAAACCTCAGAGGCAACATCGGAGTGCAAAATGTTAAGGTATCTGACAGGGTTTAACACATTTTTTCAAACAATCTTAACCAGTATTGTCCCGAATTTATATATTGAAATGATACAAAAAGTGGTTTTATGGAAAAAGTGGTGTAATGTATTATCGAAATTAATTGGTTTTTCAACTGTTAAGGCATTCAAAAAATCATTGATAGATCAAAAAGTACTTGCTCCTGCTTAAAAAGTACTTCCCACCACAATGAATGTCTTTGAAAAAAGGAATTGTCCTATATATATGACGCTGGGCGTTAACCGGTTAATTAAAATATAATTCTATTTTTTCTAAGCAGAGCTCCAAAAATTGTATATCTAAAGTAAACTTTACAAATTTATAAAATACTTTTTAAAAATTATATTCAAATTTGAGCAAAACACTTTTATAGCATGCAAACAGCTCTACACCAAATTGTAATGCCTAAATATCTAAATCATTTTTTTTTTAGATAAATAATGTGGTTACGTGCATTTTGAACACATTTTAAAGAAAACTTTCAAATGTATGGTGAAATAGGATCAAGTGCATTGCACAATATTGATTTTTTAAAGTTAAATTCTGAACATTCTTGCTAAAAAAAGTGATCAAAAATAATAAATTCACACTTAGATCTTAGATTTTAGTTCAAAACATGGCTTACACTATACAAAATCTACACACGAAGTTTCAAAGAATTCTATGATAAACTTTGTTGTGTGTGTTAGCATGCAAAAATTGTCTCAAAATCAACGTTTATCTGAAAATCCATTTAAAGTATGTAATTGCTATTCCGCTACGACGGACAGCATGCAGAAAAACAACTATCACTTTGATTCTAAAGAACGGAGAACAAAACTTTATAGATATTTAAAAAGCTAATGAACAAAATTTCAAATATAGACAATAAAAAATAATTCGTAATTTTCTTCGAAATTACCTACTTTTGCTCAGTCTTATATCTTAAGTCTTCAAAACTTGCTGCTTATTACTATTTATTTCTAACTTTTTTTCCTTAAAATAAAGAGTAAATTGTAACTAAAAAATGACCTGAAGTTTAATACTTAAGTATATTTGATTTTAATGGAAAAGTTAATCCTAGCATGTATTTAATTTATAACCTTTATAATGTACCTTCAAGTATGAAAATCATATTTCATTTTATCTTAGTAAGAAAATCTATTATAACTTAAAAAATGTATGGTTAAGTATTATCGCCTGTCTTATCCAGTTAAAATTTACCTCCTTATCATTTTACGTTCTGTGTTATTACGTTATTTATCATGCCGGAAATACCGACCACTTTTTTCACTTAATTACCATATTCACATTCCTTTTTCTCGCCAAAATAATCTAAGGAATCGCGCTTTTAAAGATGTTCCCCCTAAAATCCAAACCGGACTACTTCTCTCCTTTACCAGCGGAACAACATTTAATCTGTTCGCCGCCTCACTCAGACGATCGATTCTTGGCGGAAGAACACAAGATGGCTAGAGCAACATCGGAAAGAGATCCCTAGAGTTTGTAACGGAGACTGAGAAGTGAAAGAAAAAAAATTAGCCACAGCTTATTTACATTTCTTTCCCCTTACCGACATGATCTGCATGATTGGTCACTCTGTGTCCACCTGCGTGCAAAGTGTCCACTCCATCAGTTCTTACCTCCTGAAACATTTACGTAAGATTTTTTTTTTACAATCGTTTGCAATTTTTATTCTTAAAATTGAATTTGTGAATTTTAAGAGAATTAAAAATTACAAGTGTAATAATTAATTTAACTTGTAATTTTTTTTCTTCTTAGATGTCACTATCTTCATTCAGCGATGAGTATTGTTCGATTATTCTTTTTGTATTTTTATTTCATTCAACTTAATTTTAAAAGTGTTGTAACAATGACGAAAGGTCAAAGCCCGATTTCAGTTTGACCCTTTGATTTTGCTGCTCCTTAAAATTCGATACTTTCTGACATGAAAATAATTTGTGTCATCTTTTCTGAGAAAATCTTAAATGTTATTGTTGTATAAAGTTTATATTATCATAGAGAGCACAAGAGAACTCATTTGTTTTCATGCATACATTTTTAAAAAAATTTTTGTGTCAAATAAAAATTCATGTCAGTAAAATTTTAATTTCTGTGTGATAACTTTATGCCGATGTCAGCTGTATATATTTGTTGTTATTTTTAAAACAACAAAATTCTTGAACACTGACCTGAACTTTTTTAACAACATCTGCATTTTTTTTAAATTTATCAGTACCTTTTTTTTAAAAAAAAATCTTTAACTAAATAAATATTTAGACAGTTGTAGATAATTGAATAATGTTATTCGTTTTCGCTAAGCATCCTTTAATAGGCACGGTTTGAAGAAAACCAAACTGTAGCACAAGTTTTCATTATTCGCATTTTCTAGATCAATCTACTATGAACAGCTGCTCCGCTGTCTGTAATAGTTTTAATAAATTTTTAGCAAATTAAATAGCGAAACTTGTAGATTAAGCATATTTACGTCTACTCTTTAAAACTGTAACCGCGAGATGAATGCAATATACTCGTAGTTACATTTCATATAATACTTCAAATTTGTGATACGTAGCAGCGGAAAAACTATTTAAAATGAAAGTAAAAATAACTTATATTTTTTTACCTCTAGAAAATACTTTTTCACAATGCGGAGCAAAGTGGCATCTCTACTATGTATACTGATATTTGAATTTAAAATCAAAACACAATGATTTTTCAACTCTTAAGTGGTAGATAACAGCAAATTGTTTCGGAGCAAGAAAGAGTGGAAATCCATCTTTTATTATGTATAAATATCATGTGAATGTAAATAAATTTCATGTGATAAAATGCCTTTATGAAAAAGGTGGTAGAGAACTTGAATGGAAACTGAGTAACTAACAGAAATGCTAACAGACCTGCTTCCTGCAAAAGATATTATAAAATGATAGCATGGTAAAAACCAAAGTTTGCAAAATTTTAGGTGATGAAGCTAATACTTTCAACCTCTTCTAACTCAAAGTACCCACTAGTATACCTCACCAAGTAGAGGGTACCCATAACCTGTAAAGATTAAAGTATGGTAACTTTTCTCAAGACTGCTTAAAATTTCATTAAGTTAACTTTCAATTATTTGTATAAAATCAGTTTTGAAGTTTTCACATCACGATAAATGATACTGGAGTTATATTGGGGAACAAAGTCATGTATGTAACTCGGAAATTTATATAAAACAACATTCTGTTCCGGTCATGTCATAATTAGTCTTTTAGAATGTCGACAAAATCAACAAAATTTCAGCGAGTTTATGTTTAGCATTTTATAAAAAACTTTTGAACAAAGCGGAGCAGTTGGCATCTCTGTTGTGCTACCATTTTTTCACATAGGTTACCATTTTTTCATGCAGGAGCCATTTTTTAGTTTGATTTTAACACGTAAAAATACAATAAAATTCCAAATAAGGAAAGGGAGATTTTTGCACGAAAAAAAAAATTATTTTTTTTTTCTTCCTGCCATGAACGTTACATTCAAAACTATTGAACATCCTGATTTCTGCGGTAGATTTTATTTTAATTTTTAAAATTCTAACATTAATGTTAACTACGTTTAACAAAGCTAATTAGTAAGGATTTCGACTACGAGTAACTAATTTCAACAAGCATGTAATACATAAATTAACTGATTTCCCCCAAGATTTAAATTGTTTGCATAGTTGAAATAATTCCGGCCTACAATTACATACCTGCAAACTCTCCCGCATTTTGCGGGAGATTTTATTTTCATATTTAAAGTGGTATTAAATATATACTATTTTTTCTTTTATAAATTTAATTTTTAAATGATTTTGATCACCACTATTCTTACAAAAATTAAGCCTATATATTAATATGCGTTACTATCATGGTTGTCAACTTAATTTTTTTCAAATACAGCGTATTTGCTTGCTTAAAATTGAGGTTTTAATTCCATTTTAATACCACTGGGAAAAATTATAATGGAAGGGATTAAAAGTTATTTTAATATCACTCAACAGTGCTAAGAAACGTTAACACAATAGTGTAAAAAACGTCTACCATCATTTGCTAAAACAGAGGGTGCATAATTACCCGTTGAAAAGCCAATGTTCCATTTTTTGAGACATTGCATGCGGGCAAGCCACAACAGAGATATTGACTAAACGTCAATTTATAATCTAACTTATTTTGTCAAGTCATTTTGATTTTTATCTCTTTTGACGTAACTGATTTTATTTAAAGTTAATAATTTTAATGATATTTTTTAATTTTCTAATATATTTTGTCAAGTCATTCTGGACTTTTGTTTCAATTTAATTTACTTGTAAGTAAAGTATGGTACATATATTTTGCAAATTGTTTTTTTTTTGTACTCTTATTCATTTCATTGTAATTTGTAATTACATTTTTGTCTAAACTCGATGATTTTACTTAAATTTCGTATTTGCCAACTATTTGGGTACCTGCCACCTCTCCCTCCCCTACTCATTCCTTCATTCCACAAATCGTTTATCATATGTCTTTAACTACGTACGAATCAGACAATGCTGCTTCGTAGCTGTGCAATGAGATAGTTGTCTATTTCCAGCATTCCAATGTACAGTGGGTAAAAAAAACGGACCACCTGAATGACTTTTGATCTAATGATCGGATCTTCACTCTCTAAGGCTTGGAGAGCGATCCCTAGTTTTGACCCCTTAATGTTAATTTAACTTTTTGGGTATTTCGCCATATCTCGGGAACTTCTAAAGCGAATTGAAAACTTTTTGCGCTTAATAATAAAGTTTGTTTATCAAAAATTATTCCATGCAAAAAATAAAATTTAGTGAATATTTATCATTTTATTTAATATGAGTCAAAAACATTTCGAATTTTTAGGTATACAGTTTTTTAGTCTTATAAAGGATATAATTTCCTGTGGCAAAATGCAAAATTTGAGCGGAATCGGTTGAATAGTTTCTGAGAAATTGACTTTTAAGGAATTCGAATATTTAAAATTCGATTTCTCAGGAACTCTTCCAACAAATTCGCTCAAATTTTGTACTTTGCCTTGTAAAATTACATAATGACGTAAAAAATAATACGCCTTACAAATCAAAATTTGTTTGCCTGTTATTATATATATA